AAAAATTGGTGTTTGTGTGTGCGTGCGTTTTCTAGTCCAATAATTTCAACTCAGGCACGAGATTTTACATATCCGTGTACGTACACGCTTGTGTGCAGGTAGCTTTAGTCCGTTGACATTTGATTCCTTCTTGCCAAAAACATAGATCAGTTTAACTTAATTAATTTGATGCACATCATTGTGATTATAACATTTTGAGCTTTTTGTATGAAATTCCGAGCCGCAGATAGTTTGCTGTCATTACCAAACCAGAAACGATAAAAAGATTTTAACATCGTCCTGGAGATATTAATGCAAAATTCAATGTCACCGTTTTTGACATTCGGGGTAAAATGTTGATAAACTGTTCAAACAATTCCAAGATTCTGAGCACAGGTTTCACTGAGAAGTTGAAATATCTATAGTTTTTGGGTTCTCCAAAGGTGAGTTCGTTTAGTTGTGTACGATCATTGACATTTTTGCAGTTGGCATGATAAAGTTACGTCGTTTCATAACAATACAAGGTACATTCGGCAACAAAAGGGAATATATTTTGAGGCAGTAAACTGTGCTTGTTATATATCTTTGTCTGGACCTGAAAATTGGTTCATTATTTTAATTCCTGAGATATGCCCAATGGGACAAGCAGTTTCCACCATATCAAAATCAAACTTGTCTAACATCCCATTCGTCACAATGCATATCTTCCGGCATGATATCTCCATTAACCCTTATGAAGGTGACTGTGAAATATATTATGCAATAAAGTGGACAGGTTGTGCGTTGGCGTTCTTCCATTCGACAACCTGTTCAGTATTTGCAGTATGTATTAAGCCCAATTGAAAGTGATGCTCTAAAAATGAAAATTGAAGAATTGCACACAAACATTAGGAAGACAACCTTTGCAAAATAACTGTAGACATTAAGGATAACAACATAAAGTATAAAAATGAAAGATATTAGAAATATATTAAAAGGTACATAAATAATAGATGAAAGGCAAAATGTGATATCTTTCAAAAGTATCTGAAACACAGGGTATATGACAGCATCGTGCTCTCTCTCTCTCTCTCTCTCTCTCTCTCTCTCTCTCTCTCTCTCTCTCTCTCTCTCTCTCTCTCTCTCTCTCTCTCTCTCTCTCTTTGGAGAAAATTTCTTTAAATTACTAAAATTATCTCTCCTATAATGAAAATGTCATTTTGAATTTGCCTAACATTGCTTAATACTGACTTTCTTTCTATGTTTATGAATGTGTAGAGTTACTGTGAATAGAAACTTGTTTATATGGGCATTACTGCATTATATTTATTTAAAACATATAACTCCAGAAAAGTCAAAAGGTGTGTATTCTTTGTACAAACACAACTTTCTGCCCCATAAAGCACGTGTAAAAAAACATGGGCCGACACAGATAATCAAAGTCACACTTCCAGATTTCACAAACGGCAGCGTCGATTTTGAGATCTGTAAATATCGCGTGTGGATAATGTTTACATATTCGATCAACTGTAGCTCTCGATTTCATGTAGACATTAAGATTATCGAAGACGCACGTCACAGAAGAAGAAATGTGTTTTGTAGACAATCTGCCTTTATTTTCTGGATTATTTTGATAGAGAAGATGGAGAAAGAAGAAATAGAGAACGGAATAAAAGATATAATGGGAATATATGCTTCCAGCCTGTATGGAAAATGGCTTGAAGTTAATGAGTCAACGAGGTGCGTCTCAAAACCATTATACAAATGCTGTATTATTATTGCTCTACAATCTAGATGGTACCATAATTTCCAGACGATGCAGCTAATGTAAATCACAATATTTTACAATAATGATGGAAGATAAGTAACGCGCCTAGTCTTTAGATGATCTAAACGCTATACAGCATTTTATATATATATATATATATATATATATATATATATATATATATATATATATATATATATATATATATATATATATATATATATATATATATATATATATATTCTTGTGGTCGAAATAGGTGACTTTTATGGGCACTCTTAAATGATATCAGTGTCATTGTGTCTCGGACCTATGGGCAATTCGTCCCACGTAGCTGGGCCTTGGTACGCAAAAGAACGTTGTCCGCATGGCTTCGTTTTAACAGTGGGAACAATGAGAATGCGAGTGTCTGAAGAGAAGCGCAAGCTTCATGGTGCGATATACACATGGGATAGGTCAGATAGTTAAATATACTCGATTCAGTCAAGGAAATGTAGCATAGTGGACAGATTTTGTTTGATTATTACTAGAACGGGTGGCTAGTGAAGGTCACAGAGCATGGAAAAGGTGTGCTAATTTCTTCATACTCGAATGATGGTCCCAGCTGCAGTGTTTTGAACTTTTTGAGACGAACCAGACAGAAGTGAATTACAATAGTACAGTCTTCAAAGTACTAAGGAACACACAATTATTTCAGTGGCATTAACGGAAAGAAATAGATTATGGGGCCGATGCTTCTCAGCTCCAGATATGCAGCCTTGCATATGTTCGTTAACGAGAGCGTACTGTAAAAATTGACACCTAGGTTTCGTACTGACTGTCAATTTAGGCTGGGTGGGGAATATTTTAACACCAAAGCTGAAAGTTTCCAGCCTTCAGAAGGCCTTGAAAAATAACGCTCGATTTGTGAAAGAAGTTATATCCAGTTATAATAGTTGAAGAGAAGTTAACTATCTTGAGGTAATGAGAACAAATAATTCTGCTTTGACAATAAATCAAATATCACCCTCCTTTCAGCCGAAATAATTAATTTGTATGCGTAGTAGAAAGTGTTTTGTCCTCCAAACATGAAACGTTTGTAAAAAAAAATGTAAAAGATATTTCTTTATTGCTAAAGTCTGACTTAAAATGCAATTATATCATAAAAATATTAAAACAAGTTTCTGCCTGGCTGATGTCAAAGATGCTAGGCTGTTATGGAGGCATGCGAAACAACATTACATAAAACATGTCATATTTCAACATTTCTTGAAAGTGGCAGTATTAAATAAAGTGGTTTTGAAGATGTGAACATTATGTTTCTCACCTGAATGTCATGGAGGCCAAGATTCACACAATTCGCAGTAAATAAATGTAGAGTAAAGCAACTTAATTGTGGTTTGACAGCAACATGTTCTTTGAATTTAGCTCTATTAATGGCAAAAGCAAGTTTTCGATTATGTAGATAGTTGCGCCGCAGTCATGCACTCAATTAAAGGTCCAAAGATAAAAGTACATCTTTACATCTTCACTCTCCAAGTTAATTTCCAGTAACGATAGCCATATTCATTATATTTAATGTATATCCATTACTCCATCATTAATATAAAGTATTATTGTGAGCTACATTGGCTGCAAGCATCGACCGAAATTTATGGTATCATCAAGATCCTAGTGCATTAATTACCCAGCGTTTGAATAATTGTTTTGAGACGCCTCTCTTTCAGTCATATAAACTTTAAGCCAATTTCCATATATCTAAATTGTATATTTTTATGTCTTCTATTTCTTTCTTTTTACATCATCTTAATCAAAATATTCCTGCATGCACGTGCAGATTTTCAACAAAACGTTGTTTCTTCAGGGATTACGTTTTGGTAATCCTAATGTTTAAATGGATTCACGAGCTTCTACGGTAACAGCCATAGGTTTTTTTTTTTTTTCGAATTTGTAAATATTAGACAACACTCATCGTGAGTTTTATAGTATTTTTTTTTTTTCGTGTTAATTTGGAATGAGTACTAGAGACTGACTGAATTGCAATCCGTAACATCATACAATAATTTGTTTTTCGAATTTGTAAATATTATACTTGTGCACTATTTACCGATCTCAAAACCGACGCCGTCACATTTGAAGTATGAAATTTTGACTTAGATCTTCCATGCCGGTCCAAATGTTTGACATTTACTTTATGACTTTATGGGGCAGAGAGTTGTTATTTTACAAAGACAACACTCATCGTGAGTTTTATGGAATTTTTTTGTGTGTTAATTTGGGATAAGTATGCTAGTTGAGAGAGAGAGAGACAGACAGACAGACAGACTTGCAATACGTAACATCATACAATAGCCCCCACAATTTCATTACACAGTAAACAACTTGCTATCAACCTTCATATTAAAACTGTTTTTCTTAATGGCTACATCAGAATGAAGTTTTCTCTAACATAAAAACTAGTTGCCAATAATGAAGATGGGGCCGATCTGATGTCAAGTATGACACCCACAATGACCATCTTGAAAAACTTATCATTACTCCTGAAGAGACGGTAATATCAGCCACTTATCATGTATAGTTGGTCTACGTGAAAATAGTACTGACCTGAAGTCCAATATGACCCATTGCGAAACCTCCTGAATGAATAGCCGTGTCAAGAGGGGGTTTTACTAACGACTTGTTATGGTGTTTAATTGGCATTTTACGAAGAAAATGCGGTTCAGATATGCAGTCAGCTTGACACGTTGGCCAATTTGAAATTATAATAGCTATTCATTTTTAATGAATATCCATATCCGCATGGGGTTGTCACTGAAAGACTTTCTTATGATTTTAAGAGTTCTGAGTTCTAATATGGCCACTACAATGGCCATTTTGACAATCTTGTTATTACTGTTTCTCCATGGATATTGCGCTGTCACTAAACGACTTCTCGTGATGTTTGGTCAGAAATGCTAAACAGAAATGGCGTTAATCAGATATCCAATGTGTCTACCATTTCAGCCATCTTGAAAATGTTATATTTCTTCAAAATACTGATATCAAATTGGAGTTGCCATTTTGGATTTGGATTTTCCTAACATAGCTTTAAAAAAAATTCAGTCACATCGCTACGATATCTGCAGTGTGGCAGTATATATTGATGTCTAGTACTGATATCATTTCACAGATATGTAGCATGATGTCCCACACAGTCACTATATCCTGACACCAGGCCGACCAGTCCTAACACTAACTTCAATACTGAGCGCCAAGCGAATCAGCTGTTCGTATCATTTTTGTAAAAAAAAAATGGTATGACGGCCTGGGATCCAACCCACGACTTTCCGCATCCGAAGCGGACGCTCTAACCACTAGGCCACCGGAGCGGTCGTAAGGATTTGCTGTAAGAAGACTTCTTGTTACGTCTTTGGTCCTAAAAAAAAAAAAAACTGGCACTAATATGACATACATTAGTACGCCACAGTAGCTAATTTGACAACACTCGGCATTCAAACGGAAGAAATCGTCTTATCTAGAATTTCTGAAAATCTTTTCTGCTAGATCGTCAGTCACTTCAAGGGGCTCATATTTTGTTTTGTGTTGTGTTTTTGTTTGTTTGTTGTTTTTTTTAATGGAAGGAATTTATATATAATTTTGTCATTTATGAGAGCTAATTATATTGAAAGGAATATGAATTATCAAATCCTATTTCATTTCTTCTTGACGTATTTATACCCTTTTCTCAAGTTGTCTTAAAAAATATTAATAGTAAACGCAAAATGGAGATGGTGAACAAATTTGTGGTTAAATTAAACATCTTTCATTCCATATGACAATGATGTCCACATATTAGAGTCGTTTTTAATGTCAGTGGTATTTAAAAATATCAAACAGCATCTCGAATATAGTTTAATGTGGCATTGTTTTCGACATTTTCCACGTACCGATGACTGAACCTGTCAAAAATCATATCCCTTGATGGTGCTTGCGTGGCAAATATTCTTTCATCGGCATAATCACAGAATTGCAATACAATCGTTATCTTACCTGGAGATGAGCTTATTGTTTGACCATCGTGCATCTTGTATCCATCCATCAACAATTGCTTGTTACCACTCTTGAGTCCATATATCTGACCAGTGTTGAACTAGCTTGAAATATTGGTTTTTATCATCAGAATCTCAGACGAGTTCAATAATGAGTGAGATCCATGCTCTTATTTTAATCAAACTCAGAATATACGCTTATACCGTTAAGATCTCGCATGAGTACGATTATGAGCGAGATCCACGGAAGCCAATAATGCCTTATTGAATCTAATTGTCGGAGTCTGTGTCCCTCACGAAGAAACGTTTCTCTAGTTTTTATCAAACTTGAAATCTGGGCTTGCGTCATAAAGATCTTGGATGGGTTTATAATTAACAATATTTACGCATACGAATGAGGTGATTATGTATCCGTTTAACAGAGCATGTGACTGGTCGGTCTGGAGCAAATATTTTTCATCCGATTGTGATCAAACTTGCAATGTATGATTATATCATCAGTGGCGTCACTAGGGTTGGTGTCACCCGGTGCGGTAACTCATGGTGTCATCCCCATGGGCCACCTTCCTGCACAAAAATTCAAACATTTTATAGAAAGCCATGTGCTGTAACTCATGATTTCACCCATATTGACTTTCTTCCTGCATAGAAATTCAAAACTTTTATAGACAGTCATGTGAGGTAACTCATGATATCCCCCCAAAGGACACCCTTCCTGTACAAAAATTCAAACATTTTTTTAGACATTCGTGTGTGGTAACTCATGGTGTTTCCCCCATCGAAGCGAAATTAAAATATATTGATGAAATGATTATGTATTTGATTTGATGGGGTTACTACAACTCTAAAAGACATGATAACGATCCAGTTTGAATCAAAACCTGGATTAAAAGCTTACATCATCAAGATCTTGGATAAATTAGAAGGTGCACAAGACTGACTAATTAATGACGTTATCTTTCGTCTAATTAGCTGAAAGTGTTGCCCATATATATATATATATATATATATATATATATATATATATATATATATATATATATATATATATATATATATATATATATATATATATATATATATTGCCACATCTTCGTAAAACACGGTTGCTTACCATTCTGAATAATACAGGCGATAAGAAAACCAACCAGTTTTAATTCGGTAGCGTGGCTGTATAGGGCCTATGAGGTAAAAGTAGGAAAAACACCCTGGGACTGTATGGGACGAGGATTTATAGGGCCCATGACGATATATAGACAAACAGCCTGGGGCTGTATAGGGCAAAAATGGATAGTGACAGGGGGAATAATCATGACAAGACCCCCGGGAACAATATAGGGACAAATGTATTTGTAGTGGAAGAGCGGTTCGAAACAGATTGAGATTTTTCACCAAGCCAAACACGTATTATAAAATTCAGCCTCTACGCAGATCCAGTCCGAAGAGCTGTCTGTGACGTCACATTCCCTATATAGGTGCACTAGCGTCTGTGCGCAGTGACTCGATGCGACATTGTTTTATGAAACTCAAAAATCCCTTTTGCCCATAATATACGTCTGTGAGTCAGTAAAGGCCCTTTATCATTCTAAAAAATCAAATCCAAGAGACACTTACGTTTTTCTCTCTGGTCTATTCTGGTACAAATTTTATAATCCTATTCACAACATAACACTTTTAAAAAGTTCATAGACTTGTGTGTCTTTTTATTTGTTCACTCTTTTTTTTAGTTTCTTCCCTTTCACAGGTTTATAGCCCTCTTTTTCCTCACTTTTTTCTCGCCTTCTTTTCTTCTCTTTCTGCCGGGGTTGCTCCTTTGCCGAGGGCACTCCTTCTTCCTCCTTGCTTCTTAGCACAATCTGAAAACCAATGTCGTTTCTCTTGACAATGATGACAGGTATCTTAACTTTTGTCTCTTTTGATACTTGTCTCGCTTTTTTGACGGTCTGGACATTATGTAGCCCAATGCTTTATCTTCTGACAGATATAGCAAGTATCTCGACTTTTATCTCGAAAGGAGGGAGTAGTTCGTCGACTTGTCTGAAAAAATCTTTTGAGTCACACCTCGCAAAGCTCTGATCATAAGTTCAATCTTGGTCGGCTCTTCCGTCGTTCTGGTCAGCTTGAGAGTGAAATGAATAATGGGAGGGAAGGCACTAGACCTTTTTATAAACACTGGTCTGATATGGATATAAAGGTTGTTGTTATTGTCGTTGGGCTTAACGCCATTTTGCAAAACTCAATAGGCTATACTTGGCGGCCAGTATTAATGGTGGAGGAAGAAACTGGGAAATCCCCGGAAAGAACCACTAACCCACGAGAAGCTACTGGCAAGCTTTCTCACTTATCCGCATTCGCCGAATCGTAGACTCGAACCCACGCAGACAGAGGTGAGATGACAGTGATCCGTAACGAAGAGCGCTTTAGACTACTCGGCCACTCGGGGCTTCTGGATATAAAGGTGTCGCTGGTGTTTTAAATGCAGTTATTTGACGTTTTGCAGTCAAGATGAAACATTCACATCATTTCGTGAAGAAACGAGAAGAAAGTCAGAGGCTGAAACGTGACGTATCGTCTTGGTTCAAATTCAGGCCAGCGATTTTGAAGATGAGATGAGTGAAGAAGAATCCAAACCCCGATATTCTACACCAAACCAAAAGTAACCACTAGTAAATCCTGAAAAGTACTTCCAAATTCGAAAAACGGACAAACGCCTCTCTAGAAGATTTAGAACTACGGCCTACATGTATATAGTGAAGTTAAAATATTTCAAGTGTAACGTACCGATGGAGAAAGCAGAAGATTTCATTACCAATGTTTTGGATTCTTTGTTAACCACACTGAAACAGCGATGTGAAGCCAAAGAAGAAGATAGCTTGAGATTTTTCATTCATCATGACAGTTTGAAGTCTCCCGTTTGGGTCGAGATTAACAGTCCGACAGAATTGACACCTTCCAAAGTCATAGACAAGATTCAACACGTGCAACAATCTAACGACAGGTTTCACATCACCGATAAAAAAGCGACACTGTATCTCTTCCCCAAGGAACAGGACGCAAAAAGGTGCTATTAGTGGACGAATTTCTTAGCATTAAGCGCAGCATTGTTCAGATTAGTAACACTCAATACAAGATCTGTTTAGGCCGTGCTATCGTGGTGAGACAAACGTATCCCGACAAGAACAACACAAAAGAATGGAAAAGATACTGGGAGAACATTCGAAAATCTAATCAAACTAAACAACAAAGACCGAAGACAAGCATAACTCGTGTTACATCAAGTGGGGATATCCAAAGACACATCCCTTTGGCATTCCTGAAATGAAAAAAAAATTGCAAGACGACTTGGATCCGCGCTACACCTTCAAAGTTCACCCTCAAAAAGTGCGCAACCTCTTTTGTTTCGATGCAAAAATTTCAAACACGAAAATACATTCACTTCTATCATCACGATGGACATTTAGATATCATTACAAGTATGGCCCTATTCCTAAGATACAGTTATTACTTTGAGAAATACGGCTATGGCTATAGCAATTTTAGAGCGACACAAGCATTGCGGATTAAAATGCCTAGGATGTTTCGCCTCTAAACCCAGAATTGATGAAGGACAAACACAAATGCATTGCTCTGCTTCTCAGCGCACTTTTGTAAGTCCAACCTGTTACCATAAGCATCTGAAGACGAAAGCTTCACAGCACAAACGTGCTTGTCAACTCATGAGATTGTGCCCAACGTGTGAACAATGCATATGTACCAATAATGCTTAGACGCACGTAGTTCAGGAAACAAGCGATGTCACATTTGTCACCAAATCGTGTACTTGGAACAGGAATGCTACATTCAGAAATACCATTCCAATCATGAAGAGGATTATGACCAGAGGGCAAAAAGGGGGGAATTTGATCTCTTTCGATTTCGAATGCAAGCAAGAGACCGGTATTTACATTCATAATTTCTGAGTGGCTCATCATTGCCTTTACTTCAGCAAGATTCCTGGAAGACGTGAAAAAAAATTTCAAAGACCATGCATGCTGACGCATTTAGCCCAATGGATCTTAGACTCCATTGACGAGACGTGGGGCAAAGAGGATATCAAACATTACGAATATTGTCATCGTTATGCCATGGTGATTGCTCACATTTTCGCGGGATACGATGGGCAATTTCTTCTCAGATAATATACAGAACAAAGTACCGAGCGTCCTAAAGTGACTTTGAACGGAGCCAAAATTATTTCCATACGAGTTGAACAAGTGGAGTTCAAATATTCGATGAGTTACTTGGTCATGCCTTTGAGCTGAATGCCTAAAACGTTTGGAATGACAAACGGTCAAAAGCTATTCCGC